AGTGGCACCCTGTTCCCCCGTTGCCCAGCGAGGCTGCTGCTCTCCTGCTGTTGCCCCCTGCCCAGACCCCAAGCCCCTTCCTCCTGCCGGCTTCTGCTCATCAGCACCAGCGCCCCACACCCATCATCCCAGCTTCCTCACCATTGAAATTTGCTCCAGCTCGCATCAGAAGGACCCTGATGAGTCGATTCCTACTGTGATTTTGGGAAAATGCCTTACCTTATTTATTTTTTTTCTTCTGTTTACTTTTTTCCTCGAGGGACTGATGAAAGGTCCTATTTAGATGAATTGTAAATGGTAGGACTTCAGGGGCCAAGAAATATGAAATGATAACAGGTAAACGTATTGAATGCCATCTGCCAGGCAAATGTATGATCTCATTTAATTCTCCTAACAACCCAATATGGTAGGCACTATTATTATCTCCATTTTACAGATGAGAAAGCTGAGGTACAGAAAAGTTAGTTACGTTGCCCAAGTCCGCACAGCTAATAAGTGGCGAAGCTTAGACCTCATTCCTAGCATCTGCTGGGAAAGAGGCACGAGAGCTTCTACTGTGGGTGCTTTCCTAGGAGCTCGAAGAGCATTGCCTTTGAGATGACGCTCCCACCCCGGCGAAGATTGGCCAACGTCCTGAGAACCAAGCTTGAGGGACGGACACTGCTTAATGCCGTCTGCCTGTTGAGGGGCGTACAGACATACGGACACCCACTGAAGTCCAGGAGCCCTAGCTCTTGAAGGTTCCCTGAGAGATGACTTTGTTCAAGCCCCTCGGTTTACACACGAGGAGACAGAATCAAAGAGAGTTGACTGACTTTGCTACCACACTTCTTAATCTCAAGTTCTGGGCCTGTGCGATAGATAAAGCCATCACGGAGACGTCAGCGCTGGAAGGTGGGAAAGGCTTATTCTAATTGGCCAAAATGAGACGGTGAGAGGATCGGTTCTCTCAAATCTGCCTTAACAAAAGAAGAAACGGGGTTTCTTCTTACAGAACCAAGTCTCTTATAAAGCCTGTAAAGACTGTAGAGCTAAGAGGCTTGGCAGGAGGAGTTTCAGAGAAACAAAGGGGGAAATCTGTGTTTCTTTCACTCCAGATCAGCCCTTGGGTTTCTAACTTCCGGGCATCAAGGGCAGGTGGGGGCTGGTTCCTTGAAGGCGTTCTTTCTCTTCTGCAAAGTAAGCTCATAAATCCTGCGATCCTTGAGTCAGTCCTCAGGTTAAACGAGAAAACAGCAAGTTGACAAGATCAACTTCTTTTTCATCTGCCTCTGTGTTGGGAACAAGGCTGAAGGGTAGCCATGTTCTTGAATGTCTACAGTAACCCTCAGGAGCCTGGCTTCAGTTTGGCTGGGTCTCCGGGCATCTCCTCACGACCCGTCCAGTGATCTTAAAGCGTCAGCCATTCGCCCCCTCTTTCCCACCCCTCATCATATAATCAGTTACCAATTTATAGCGATCCTCAACCTCCACATGTCTGTCCCATTAATTGCCTGTTTCTGCCACTGGTGTCAACCAGGTTCCTCACGGCCTCACACTGGGACCAACACAAGGACCGTACCCGGCCCCCCTGCCTCAGTCTCCCCCTGCCCACTCTCTGTTTCTCACGAGCACACACAATTGTCTGCTGTTCTTCCTCAAACCCCGGTTTTTCATCTTGATCACAAATCTGGGGTCCAAAGGCCTGGATTTGAATTCTAGTTTTACCATTCTATCTCTAAACAGACTCAGCCATGTGGTTAAACCAAAAACAGGTGGGATGAGACCAGAGTGGGGTTACAGCTCAGCCCATGGCTGAGTGGGGCACAGCATGGAGCTGCAGCACCGGGCGCAGTGGGTGGCCGGGCTAAGGCAAGATCAGCACCGAGAGGGACGCAACTAGGGGCCGTTAAGAGCCAGCAGTTTTATGATGCTCTGAGCACAAGCAGGGATGGAGGCCGCGGAGGGAAGAACTGGGAGGCAGAGGCAGGGACGGTGAAGAGAAAGGGAACCCCAATCCACTGCCTATTGCATTTCTCAGTGAAACCTCTCCTCTCCCTAGAAATGGAAGCAGAAAAGAAACTTTAGGAGAAGCTGAGGGTTACAGCCAGGCAGGAAGACTGGAACTGAGAGCGAGCCCTGTCTATGAGTGTGAAAACCACGTCCCTCCTTACAACTCCAACATACAAGGCAGGGAGAGGAAGGGAGCATAGCTCAGGGTCCAGGACCAGGCGCCCACGTTCAGAGATATGTACTCCTGCCACCCTGGGGAAGCGGGACCCCAGCCGTGAGTGTGCCCTTCTAACGACCCCATGCTGGGTACTTTTAACACAAAGGGATCATTGAGTTCCTCGTGTTCTCAGGCAAGAAGGTACGTTTACAGATGGACCTGTAATGAAGGAGTATCAGTTTCTACGTTCCAGGAATGGGCCAGATTACTAAAGACTGAGACAGTTTAGGGAAACCGGGCTAATGGAATTCAGTCTCACAGAGCTGGAAGGTCAGGCGCTCAAGTAGAATCCGTAATACATTTCAACGGAGCCCTAAGGGGTGGAATTGCTGGAAATAATGAGGAAAGAGCCCTTGGGGTAGATAGTCGTGTCATCAGGAGACCAGCTGCCAGCAGGGATTTCCTCATGGGGCGGAGGAAGCAGCGGTCCCCTCTGTGAATGAGTCTCTCACATCTCCTTTAGATCCTGGGCGCCATCCTGGGCTTGAAGCTACTCAGAAGGGGAGCACTGTGCTAAGAGGGGGAGCTAGAGAAACAGAAGGAGAGGTTGATCGGGAGCTCAGGAATGGGCCAGAGAATCTTTTTAAGGCATTTTTCAGCCTCTTCCTGAGTTGAGTATAAGGAGAAGCTCCCATCTCTGGATCTGGGGTCATGAGTTTCAGGTAAGGGTCCCCACATTTCTTTCCACGCTTTGTCCTCACTCTTTTGCTGACCTCTGTATTTTTGAGATAAGGCTTCTAAATTGATTAAGGAGAGAGCAGGGATCTGAGCTGAGGAAAAGGAAATGGAACCTGGAAGTTAGCATTAATTTGAGCAAAGTCAGGGACCTATGAGCTCAGAGTGGGCTACACCTTCCTGAAATGAGAAACAGCCTCAGAACACAGACCTGGCCCGTCAGCAGGGGCCAACAAGCCCAGAGAGATGAAGACAGAGGGCGTAGGTGTGTGGCCAGAGAGCGGGAGTGGGGAATTTCTTCGCTCTCTGTCCAGCTAGAAGGTAATTCTCTCATGATTGACTAAAGTTTGAACCCACATCCTAAAACCTTGCTCTCTCCTTCCCATGTGCCATGAGAGAGCGGAAGAGACAGAGAGAAAGATCGCTTACACCTGCACTGGCCAATATGGTGGCTATTGGGGATTTAAAATGCCGCTGGTGCTGTATGTGTAAAACACACACAGGATCTGAGAAAAGAGTGTGAAATAGCTCATTAATAATTGTATGTTGAGTGTGTATTGAAACGATATTTCTGATATGTTAGATTAAATATGTTCTTTAAATGAATGACCCTTTTCTTTTCTTTTTTTTTTTTGAGGAAGATCAGCCCTGAGCTAACATCTGCTGCCAATCCTCCTCTTTTCTGCTGAGGAAGAGTGGCCCTGAGCTAACATCTGTGCCCATCTTCCTCTACTTTATATGTGGGACGCCTACCATAGCATGGCTTGCCCAGCGGTGCCATGTGCACACCCAGGATCTGAACTGGTGAACCCTGGGGTGCCAAAGCAGAACGTGCACAGTTAACCACTGCACCACCCAGCCAGCCCCTCTTTTTACTTTCTTAACATGGCTACTAGAAGTTTGAAAATTCACAGGTAGCTTCCATCCCAGTGGACCGCCCAGCTTTCTACTTTCAGATCACGGCCCAGATTTCCAGGACAGCCGTCTGCATCCCTCTTGTTAAGTTTCAGGACAGGGGAACAAACTGATAAACCAGAAGTTTGTTTCATTTTCTCGTCTCAGGAATGTAAGCTCTTTAACTGCTCAGGCCCAGTTGTCAATTGGAGTGGATGTTTGGGGCCAATGAAAGCTTGTGGTACAGAAACTTAATTCCTAGTATTTAAGAAACGCAGCTGGGGGAAAGAAAGGACACAATGAACAAGATGAATTCTTCGATAGAATTTCATGTGAATTAAATTAAACCCATAAAGTCCATATAAACCTACACCATGGCTTGTGAAAACACTACTTATCACAGAAAAATGCCATCGTTTACTCATCTTTGTAAGCTAGGACAAACTGAGAAAATGTTCTTCCTAGGAGAACACTCAACTCTCTGTTGCGTCCCAGCCCGTTGCAGCTGAAAAAAAAAAACAAACCAGAACCTTTTCTGATGGTGGATTTCTTTTTCTCCTGAGTGAGTCAGAGAACAGACTGTGGCCTACACCAAGAAAAAAAGAAAAAACATTGAGCCTTACGCACACGGGTACGGACATGCGGATGGGCATGGAATTATTCATGAAGCTCCAAGGCTGGAGAAACGCTTCCTTATCTCCCGTCTCTGGAATGACTGAGAGACGCAGAGTCCTGGCAGCCCAGGTGCCTTCTCACTTGGCAGCTGCCCTTTTGAAAACCACAAATAGGAGAAGGAATGACCTGCAGGGCACAACGTTTTTTATATTGTTTTTTAAATGAGAAAACTGATTTCTCTAAACCCACAAACTAAAAAGTGATTGTAAAAATAACGAAATGCAGATCATTCCAGACAATTCTAGCATTCTAGACACTACTAGTATTGAAATTTACCAGTAAAAGAAATGAGGTTATGAATTATTTGGGGGTTAAGACGGACAGCTGGGTAGTTTATACACATTCAACACCCTTACTGAGACCATCTAATGCCTCTGTTTAAACTTGTTGAAAGGCCGGTGACTCAAAACTTGCATTCACCACTTTGGGAAAACCGCTACAATTCTACATGAAAGAGCAACATTTTCACAGGATGTTGAGAATGACCTTGGGCTGTGCTGCCAAAGCACAGCAGGAAGGAGACGCCTGATTGAAGGTCAAACTCAGTCTTTTTTAAAAAACTGCTCTTCCTGAGTGAACCTAGAGGTTCCTTTAGGTCAAAATAGGCTAACCAGTAGGTTTTGGGGCTGAGAATGGTTTTTAAGTCTTACTAATCTTCTCTGGAATGAAACCAGGTGATTCAAAGAGAAAAGAGCGTCTGGAATATTTACTAATCCCTGAATTCTTTTCTTTTTCTTTTAAAAAAGGATTACTAGCTTGTGTAATTGCCTCGTTCTAAATTACTGGCAGTATTGCTAAACGTATTTCGATTATGTCGCTAAGGGATCAGCCCTGAATTGTAAAGATTTCGTCAACCCGCCCAAGAATTACCAGCGGATTATCGTCCTACTGCCAAGATGCTTGGTCTAACGTGTATTAGGATTCAGAAAGAAAATAGACAATATGACAGATTTCAAACTACCTTTAGGTTTGTTTAACTCTTGTGCTTATCATAATGTACAGAAATTTGGGAACCGGAAAGAACGTCTGTGAAAACAGCAGCACGGGGTCCAGGCAACGGCCCCCACTTTCCTGAGTTCTGAACCCGGCTCTGTGGCTTCTCAGGTGAGTAAGATCAGGCAAGTTATTTACCCTCCTGGACTCAGTTGCCCTCACCTGTGAAACAGTGAGCGTCACAGTAACAGTATCACCTTATGGGGTTATGGAGATTGAGTGAGGCCTGGTACGGATCTGCATAAAGAAGGGACACAACAATCGATGGCTGTCATAATTCCTTAATCTAGTCATTGTGCTTTCCAGGTGAGGAAACGCAGGAAAGAGACCTGCCTGTGGTCCCACCATCACGTCGCGACAGAGCCGCAGCTGGAATTCAGGTGTGGTCCTCTTCCCGCTTCTCCACAACTTCCACTTTGGACTTTAAACTTAATTCCCAGGATCCTAGGGCCCTTTTTTGTTATAGACCCCAAAGGCAACTGAATACAAACACCTATAAGGCCAGAAAATACCTCCCTCATTTTAATTATTAAAAACATTATGAAATTGACTAAATTGTGATAGATATGCATCCTAAGAGACCAGTAATTTGCACGAGTTCATCGTTTTTCTTTAAATCTTAACATGATCTGGAAGGCTTCAGAAGTGCCCTAATTCTGATCTTTCTCCGCGTTTTCTTTCGGTTTGTCTCCCTCTGGTGGATTTAAAAAAAAATACTTGTTTTTATTTTCAGAGTAACTATAGATTATTGGGGACAGGTTTTGCTCAAGGTCAGAGTTCATCTGTTGTCAGCCTGGTTCATGTTGTGGAACTCCTAGAAAACCATCTTTCCTGGGTGGGAGTCTTTGCAGAGGCTCGACTTCAGGGAGGGTAGAAACAGGCCCAGCACGTCTGCTCCTTCATACCTCCGTGAGCGCCAAGAAGCACATGCGCAGACACAAAGGTGCATTCAGAGAATAAGTGGTTTGAAATGATTCAGCATAAAGTGCAAGAGATTAGCGGTGAAAGGCTGTGGTAAGAGATGGAGTGGAAGGGTAAGCAGGGACCAAATCACAGGGCCTTTTAAGTTATGTTTGAATCTTATTTTGTAGGTAATGGGGATTGTATTAGTTAGGATTAGGCTGCAAAAACAGAAAACCTATATAAGTGGCTTTTAAAACAAAAAGTTTACTTCTGTCTGTGTAAAAGAAGTCAGGAAGTAGGCAGTCCAGGGTTTGATATGGAGCTCCCTGTCATCAGTGATCCAGGGTCCTTCCAGTCACGACTCCATCTCTAGAGTGTAGCCTTTGTCCTCATGGTCCAAAATAGCTGCCAGAGCTCCAGCCATCATATGCATTTATGCAATTGGATAGCTGCATTGGCAATTCAATCTCAATTTCCCAGAAAACAAACTGACTGATTTCTACTCTCAAACCAGCTCTTGCCTTTTGTTCTCTAGCTCCCCATTTTACTATAGGAAAGAGCAATGAAATGAGACTCAGGAAGTATGGGAGACTCTGGAGCTGAGGACAGAGAGTGAGTTCAGAAAACATACAAGAGAGATTTAAAAAGGAGTGGGGACCAGGCATGCTAAATGCTGCACAGAGGTCAAGCCACACAAGATCTGAAGGTCGGCGTTTACAGAGCTGGCAGTAAGGTTATCCGTGACCTTGGCAAGGGGGCGTCTACACTTTTTTTGTAGTGCAGAGCCCGATTCAATGTTGAAGCTCAGGGACGACAACTGCACCGTTCTTGCCTCTCACTGTCGTGTTGATGAGCGCCCTGTGCTTGTCCCAGCCGTGGCTGGGACTTACCACTTCCCTTGAGGTTAGCCTCCAGTGAGAAAGAGCTGAAGTCGTCGGAGCTGCGTTTGTGGAAAAAAGCCTGGGTTCTCTGACCCTGTTCGCACCTCAGTTCTGCTCCTCTAGCTCCACTCTGTGTTTCCTGGACAACTGCTTCTCTGGACCTTAATGGCCCCTGCTCCCTCCTTAGTTTTAACGGCCATCTTGACTTCTTAGCATCTTCTTTAGGACACAGTCTGGTGTTCTCCCGGCTTCTACCACTTACAGCTGCCCAGGCCCACAGCCCCGACGGATGCAGCCTCTACGACGTGAATCTGATGTACCTCACACCCTTCGACACCTGCTACCTCTCTCTCTAAGGGAGCCGGGAAATGAGGAAGGATGGAGAGAGAGAGCAGGAGCCAGAGGGCAAGGAGAGGGCTGGGGGCATCTTCTCGTTTTCAGATGAGAGAGATGCTGAAGAGAGAGTGAAGATGGGGATTTGATGTACAGAGGTCCCTGGGGAGGGGGAGAAGATGAATCCAGCACACAGGTGTGGGACTGGCCCTAAGTAGCAGGAGGGACCCCTATTTCTCTGACGCCAGAGCTAAACAAGAGCTTAAACGAAGGAGAGTTTGCAGCTACTGGTGAATGAGATCAAAACGAAGAAAAAAAACCATCAGTAGAGTTATCGTCAATGACTAGCGACAGTCGGTTCTGATTTAGCTCACGTACTTATGGAGTCCGTGTGTCCCAAGCGATGAGCTCGCAATTTTCATATACATTATCTTTTTAAATTCTCACAAATATTTGACAGTTCACTGTGTCTCGCCAAAACATATATCAATTTAAATTTGTATACACATGTCACATTTTTAAAATCGTTTCACATGTATTATTTAATTTGATTTTTCTAGCAATTGTTGACGTATTGTCTCCTCATTTTACAGGCAAGGAAGCCAGGGCTCAGAGATTTGAGTGATTTAAGTGTAAAGAGTAAAGAGTAAAGCGATTTGAGTGGCAAGCAGGTTTTATGACTTCAGATTCCCAAAGGAACTACTATCTTAGTGGGTCAAATTTGAAAACAAGTTTGAAACATAGGGCATTTTAGACGGCTGCTGTATCGGTGGTAACCAAGTGCTCCCTGTGCCTGAGCTGGCGAGCAGAGCCCGGATCCTGCCAGCTGCTCAGGGCTGTGGGGCGGGCGCCATCTCCCTAAGTCAGGCAGGATGCTGGCCGCTGACTGGGAGGAACTCAGGCTTCCAACGAAATGAGGTTCATTCAGCTTGCTCACCCTGTGAACGCTGTGCTGGCCCAATCTGCAATTTCTGCAATCCTTTTTCTTGTCTTCTTTTGAAAAGCATACAAGATTTGAAGTTCTAAAAAAAATGTATTCAAATTGTAGCAAAATGGAGATTAATTTTGCTCCCCCTTAGAGAGAGCTTTTCATTGCCCTCTCCTGATTTTTAATCGAGTACAGGGAGTCCATTACAAAAGGACTCACGGTTTCATCTGGCGGTTGTTTCTAGGGATTAAATCAGAATCCTCATCCTTCATAGAACAAGCTGTGTCATTATCATGAGAACAGAGAGCCCGTACAATGCATGGTGCCAGTTCCTCAGTCCTGGCCTTGAATGAGGCCTGTCAGTGTTCTGGAGAATCCTAACAGGCTATGCAATTTAGTATCTTAACAATTAGCAGCTTAATCCCACGCCAGGCTCCATGCTAAGCACTCGGCCCACATTATCTAATTTAATCCTCATGACAAGTCTGGAAGGCTGGTAGCATTAGCATCTGCAGTTTCCAGGTGAGGACTCGGAGGCACCAGAAGTGACTTTCTCTGCTGGCTGGCTGTGGACCTTTGAAGAGAGGAGCATGAAGAGAGAAACACCATCTCAATAATGTAATAAATAAAAACCCAAAATTTCTCTGTGTAACATGGAGATGCTCACAGGCGGCCCTTTATTCCATGGAGTATTATTCCTGTGGTTGGAACTAAATTGGGAGCTTCCAACAGAGAAAGAACAACAAGGGGGAAGTGTGGCTAGGGTTATAATAAGGTCCCCTGCCAGGTCCTGGGGAGACAGAATGAGACAGACACGTTCCTGCTCCGTCTTGGGCTCAGAGTCTAGGAGGCAGATTATGGTTTGGTCTATAGGCCATGCATTGCCTCGTCCTATTTAATTCATAATTATAACTTTAATGGGCACAATAGTTGTAATAGAATTTATTATTTTTTTCCCCATTTTTGACCATTTAAAGCATTCTCTCGTGGCTGTGCATTGAGACTTTTTCCAGTTTGGCGCCACTATGGATAGACTATTTTTCCTGCATACTTTTTGGTTTCTACTGAAATATTTTCTTAGAAGATATTTTTGTAGTGTAGTTATTGGGTCAAAGAGTACAAATATCTTTACGGTTCTTCTAATACGTTATTATATTGCTTTCTAGAAGGGTTTGTTATTTACCTAACAAATATTTATTAAGCATCTACATGTATCAGGCCTTATACTAATCATGAGGGATACACTGAAGCATACCAATTTACGTCTCTAGAAAGGTATACTTTTAATTTCATGTAAAATCATCACCACTAAAATTTAAAAAAATTCTTTTACTTATATCTAATTTTTTCTTAAAAAGCTTTCCATCTGTTCTTCTTCTTTTTTTTTTTTCTGGAAGATTGGCCCTCATCTAACATCTGTTGCCAATCTTCCTCATTTTTTTGTTTTTTCTTTTCTCCCCAAAGCCCCAGTACACAGTTGCAGGTCATCCTAGTTCTTCTGTGTGGGACGCTGCCACAGCAAGGCCTGATGAGCAGTGTACAGGTCTGTACCCAGGATCCGAAGCGGTGAACCCTGGGCCACCAAAGTGGAGCATGGGAACTTAACCACTCAGCCACGGGGCCAGCCCCTCCTAATTTTTCTTAATGCTCGAATTTAATGGTTGGGTGTTTACCTTCTATTTTTATATGAATTATTGGGGTGTGTGTGTGACTTCTTTTTTACCTTCTATTTTTATATGAATTATTGGGGTGTGTGTGTGACTTCTTTTTTGTGTGAAATTCCTTTGCCTATTTTTATATTCTCTTTATTTTATTTATAAACTTATTTTCCTTAGAAAATTGAAAGAGTTCTTTACATCTGCTGTCACAAAGTATTTTTTTAGTTAGCTTACATTTTATTATTTTGAATTAGACATAAGCTTAACATTTTATATATTTGAATTTGTGAGCGTTTTCCTTGGCCATATCTTCTTTTGCGTCTTAACTGAATGTCATTTTCCCATAGATCTGATAAGTATCTTATTGTTTTTTTCTGATGGTTTCTCTATCACTTAATGTTAACTACATTTTAGAATGATTTTTAGAGTGAGTTTTAGAATGACTACTTTATCATCCATTCAATTTTTCTATATAGTTGGAGCCATTTCTGCTTTCCCTTTCTATCCCATCGAATACACTTCCATTATCTGCACTTTTTGCCCTTTGAAATACATTGTTGCTTTATAACATGTTTGACTAGAGTCCCTCTCACTAATCTATTTCTCAGAATGTATTTTTGTTATTTTTTTCATGTTTCAAAATCTTACTGGAATATTTGTTGAAACTGAGTTAAATACTATGACACCGGCTTCGAAATTCTAGTTACACCACTTTACTAATTCTCCGTTTATTACTTCACAAGTTTATTAATTCTAAACCTTAGTTCTTTGTCTGTGAAGTGGGGATAATACTAATTACTTCGTAGGATTTCAGGATTAAATAAAAAAAACTCCACGTAAGGCATTTAGTACATTTCCTAT